TTCCAGTTACTTAAACAGTTAAACACAGAGTTACCATGTGATCTGGCAACTCCACTCCTAGGTGTGTACCCAAGATAATCGAAAACACCTGTATGAGTAAAAACTTTACTTGTGCACAAGTAAAAACTTGTACACAAATATTCACAGAACCATTATTCATAACAACCCAAAGGTGGAAACAGCCCACCTTTCTATCAATTGGTGAATGAGTAAATAAATTGTGGTACATCCATACAATGGAATATTATCCGGCAAAAAAAGAATGTCATTATAAAGCAAAATATGACAGTTCCAGTTACTCTGTATCCTCACCAACACTTAATATTGGCTTTTTTTTTATTTGGGCCATTGCATAGTGAAACCATATTGTGGTTTTAATTTGCGTTTTCCTGATGAGTAAGAATGTGGGGCACCTTTTCATATGCTTAGCCATTTGGCTATATTTTTGTGAAATGCCTCATCAAACATTTTGCCCATTTTTCCAGCATATTGTCTGTCTTTTTCTTATCAATTTATGAGAGTGAATTACATATCCGAGATACGAGGCTTTTGTCACACAAGTATAAGGCAAATGTTTTTCCTCACTTTGTTCTTACCTTTTTATTACACTTTCTTAAAGTTCTCTTTTGATGAATAGGAGGTCTTAATTTTAATAAGGTACAATTTATCATTTTTGCTATTATAGTTAGTGTACATTGTATCTAACCTGAAAAATCTTTTCCTGTCCCAAAGTCATGAAAATATTCTATGTTATCTACCAGAAAAATATTTCTTAAACTTTCAAATTTAGATTTAAATTCCACCTGGAATTTATTTTTGTTGATAGTGTTGGGTAGGAATCAAGATTCATTTCTTTCCCACGTGGATAACCAGTTGACCCCATGCCATTTACTGAGATGAGTTTCTTCTCCCTACTGCTCTTCTGTGCCTCTTTTGTCACATACAAAATTTCTACATGTGTGGGTCTGAGTTGATCTATTCTATTTCTTGTGCCTGGAACTACTAAACCACACAAACTTGATTACTATATCTTTAAGCCAATCACGAAAAGACAGGTGCTATATGATTTCGCTTATATAAGGTACCTAAACAGAGACAGAAAGTAGGATGGTGGTTGCCAGGGGTTGGGGGGAAGGGGAAATAGGGAGTTCTTGTTTAATGGATACAGAGATTCAGTTTGAAATAATGAAAAAGTTCTGAACATGAATGGGGGTGATGGTAGTGCAACAGTGTGAATGTATTTCATAACACTGAACTGTACACTTAAAAAAAGTTAAAAGTTTATGTTATGTATATTTTTCCACAATGAAAAAAATAATCTAAGTCTTCGTGAAATAAAAAAAATGAAGCACTGATTCATGCTACAATATGGATGAGCTTTAAAAAACTGTGCTAAATGAAAGAAGCTAGACACCAAAGGCCACATATTGTATGATTCCATTTATAAGAAATGTCCAGAATAGAGAAGAAAGTAGATTAGTGTTTTCCTAGAGTGAGGGAAGGAGAATTGGGAGGAAGTAAAGAGTGACTGCCAAAGGGTACAGGATTTCTTTTTGGGGTGATTTAATTGTCTAAAATTTATTGTGGTGTTGGTTGCACAATTATTAATACACTAAAAACCATTGAATTTTACACTTTAAATTGGTGAATTATATGGTATGTAAATTATATTTTAATAAAGCTGTTATAATCAAAAGTGATACATGTCCATTGTCGAACCACAACAAAATTCAGAAAAGCAACAAGAAGAAAAGGAAACTCCATTCACATTTAGAATTTTTCCCATGTTACCCAATTGTCTTCAAGATTGAATAAGTGAAAAATCCTTATCCTGAAATAAAAGGCCTCTCATGATTCATCCCATTTACTTCTCCAACATCATTTTTCATCACTTCCACATTGACAGCATATGTTCCAACCATAACAAACTTGTTTTTTAACAAACATTTCATGTTGTCTTGCAAATCTATGCACTTGAAAACATTATTCTCACTGCTTGTAACTGTTGGTCCCTCTCTTCCTCATTTGATTAACTGTACTCATCCATCAGGATTCAGCTTAGGTACCACTTCCTCCAGAAAGCTTTCCCTGACCACTGGGACTAGGTATACCTCTTTGGTATCCAGCAGTTCCCCATGCATATTTCTATCAAATCATTCACTGTACATAAATTTTAAAAATTAAAATTTAGAATTTAAAAAAATTATGTCAACTTAGAAAATGAAAAAAAATTGCACAGGACCTCAGAGATCTCCGGAACTATATCAAAAGGTCTAACATTATGTTCTTAAAGTCTCAGAAGAAGTAGAAATATAGATTGGTGCAGAAAATAATTTTTGAGTCAATAATTGTTGAAAACATAACAAAATTTGATCAAAGGCGTACATTTACAGATTCAAGAACTCAGTGAACACCAAATCGGATAAACTTAAAGAAAATTACATCCGGAAAAATAATAAAATTGCTGAATACCAAAGATAAAGAAAAATCTTGAATGACATGATATATATGGTAACAATAATTTGGAGCACTGTAGATTTCTCATCAGAAACCATGGAGACCAGAAGACAGTGGAACAGTGTCTTTACTTTTTATGAGAACTTTTGTTCTTTATTTTCACTTTTTCAAAAAATAATTAAGGACATTATGAAAGTCAACAAGGAGCAGAGAAAATGATTCTGGTGAGATATGGAGTCTCTGCTATCTGAATATATTTCACGAAAGGTTCAGAATAACATTTTATATAACTTATTAAAATTCTAAGGTTAATGTATTATTTTAACAGAAAGTTAAATTTTATTAATAGTTTTTCTTTTCTTTTGATTATTATTTTTATAGATTTGTGGGGAACACGCAGATTTGTTGTATAGATATTCTGTATAGCAGTGAAGTCTGGGCTTTTTGTGTAACCCTCACCCAATTAATGTACGTAGTACCCATTAGGTAATTTTTCATCCCATTTCCCCCTCCCACTCTCTCAACACTTCCGAGTCTCCAACTTCTATTATTCCACTCTGTATGTCAATGCGTACCCATTATTTAGCTTCCACTTGTAAGTGAGAACAAAACAATGTCTTTAAATTGCTGAAAGAAAAAAACTGCCGAACCAGAATTCCACATCCAGCAAAAATATCTTTCAGGAAGGAAGGCAAAATAAAGTCATTCTTAAAACTGAGAGAATTCATTAACAGCTCTAAAAGTAATACTAAAAGAAGTTTTTCAGGCTGAACAAAAATGATACCAGAGAGAATCTTGGAACTTCGGGAATGAAGAAAGAGAAGCAGAAATAATAAATATTAATAATAAATAATAATTAATATCAATAATAAATATTTTCCTCCTCTTAAGTTCTTTAAAATATGTATGACTGTTGAAAGCACAAATTATAACATTTTCTGATGGAATTTTAAACACGTATTTAGGTATACCAATGCAAATTGTAAAAGAGGGTGAAGTGGTCATAAGGCTTCACAATAAAGCTCAGTTGAATTTTGAAAAATCCAGCCCTGTAAGCAACACAACAATCAAGATACCAAGCAGCTCCAAGATAATGAACATAATCATCACCTCCAAAAGTTTCCTTGAGCCCCTTTGTATTCTTTTCCTCCCTTCCTTTGCTACCTCCTCAGGCAACCAACAATATGTTTTCTGTCACTATAGAGTGGTTTGCATTTTCTAGATTTTATGTGAATGGAATCCAGCAGTATGTATCCTTTTTGGTCTGGCTTGTTTCACTCAGTGTAATTATTTTGAGATTCATTACTGTTGTGTGTATCAAAACATGCTGGTATATATTAGTGCATTGGTTCCTTTGGGAAGACCAAGTCTACCTACACATAATATACATTCATGAAGTGTAAGTTAGAGGTAAAGATTCTGGGAGAAAACTTTTGGAATGCTATCTGTACAGTTCTTGGTACCGTATTGTGCATACACAGCTGTAGGAGAGATGCCACCACTTTTGGGGGGACAGTATATTTTCATGGAAAAAGGCCAGGTTCTGGGGTCAAATGCACAGAATTATACTAAATCCATCACTTACTGGCTGAACAACCATGAGCAAGTTATTTTGTCTCTCTATTCCTTAACTTCCTTATCTTCGAAAAACAGGGATAATGACAGCACGACATACAGTTGTTGTGGGCATTAAAGAGAGACCACATATATAAAGCATTGAGCATGGAGTCTGACACACAGCAGATAATTAAAAGTGTTAGCTACTTTTCTTTTCCACCCTTTTTTATTTGGGGAAAAATTCTCATTCTTTAAAAAAAAAAAAAGTGGTAGTGTCTTTGAGCTTAATTGTAATATCATAGTGCCATCTGGTGACCATATGGAACGATTACATTATATGTATGGGATACTTCATTTCTGACAAAATTCTACAATATGTAAATCTCTCGTGTGTTCTGGGCTGGTGTTGCAGGGACAGAGATTGAGGGCTGTACTTGAGGACTGTTCTGCTGAGCTACTGGAGACCCCTCCTTTGGCGAGGCATCCTTTCATGTCAGGAGGAAAAATGAGAGGAACTTCCCCCTTAACCTACCCTAGGATGAGCAGATGGCAGATTGAGTGTGTAAGCGAATGAGTCCAGTCCTCACATCCATTTGACTCTAAGGGAGATGCTGGGAGAGGGGAGTTTGTATTTTCTCTTGTTTGGCGGTGTCTGCTCTTGAAAGATCTGGCTACTTACTGCAACTTTGGCCTTGAATCCAAACCCAATTGAGGCCTTTCAAAATTGGGTAACCCCAAATAGCACCCAACTGTCCCTAAATATGAAATAAAAGAAGGCCCCTTTCCATTCTCCTAACTACTTCACCACCCGGACAAAGAACTGAACTGTCAGAGTGCAGCTAAGGCCTCTGAATCCATCAGACTTTTACCTGGGCTCAGGTTTCATGAAATACCTCCAATCCCCACCTCCAGAAGCTCCCAAACAAGTCTCACCAGATGACCACTCTTGCCATCTCTCCCGTGCTATCAATTCAAAGCCAGACTGATCAATTTATTGAATATGAACTTTATTGTGATTTGGTGTATGTAAGGCAGTGTGGTGAAGGCACTGCAGAAGTTACACAGACTGGAAAACGTGGTAGGAAATGAGCGAGCTAAAATAAAACTACAAAATATATTTTTTTAATGAATGCGTGCTGGACTAGACTAAGTACTACAACTATGTTTCTTTTTCATCATTGCAGAAGCGTTGAAATATTGTTGAAGGTGGGGCTTTGGGTGGAATTAGGGAAGGCTTCATGGAGGAGGTGGCATTTATGCTGGGCCTTGAAGGAGGGGTAGAATATCGATAGATGAAGATGGAGGGAAGAACATCTCATAATGACTGAGTCTAGAGAAAATTCTGTAGAAGTACTGAAAAACAAGAGGGTGAACAAACACCCTTGGGGAGTGAAGCTTCCCAACTGAGGGAAAAGCCTGAGAAGCCTGGGCCGGAACCAAGTCTCAAGCCCCCAGATGGGGTCTTCAGTACCAATGATATTAGGAGGCACAGGACAACAGGCTTATTTGTAAACCTAGCAGCAGCAAGAGGTTTCACATTGCAGTCAGGGGCCCCAAATTGGCTGTACCATGCCTGGATGGATTCTCTCATCTTTTTGGTGTATGTGGCAATTATTCGTCCTTCCTCTTGCCCACTGACTGCCTGAACGGTAGGTCGTGTGCGCCCATGTGCGCGTGTGTGAGTGTAGGTGTGTGTGGATGGGTGGGGGACCGAAGTTTTGTCTCCCACTGCAGCTTCTTCCACTTTTCCCTCTCGTGGCACACAGCTGGCTTCCACTGAACTGAAGCTCAGGCCCTTCTCACTGCCTAGGCCTCATTGAACTCCAGCTCTAGATTGAGCACCTAGGAAGCTTCCTCAACATGAAGGCAAAACTTACTGTGGGGGGTGACTTGGGTTAAGGCAGGACTACACTTTCCGGAGGTGATGATGGTGGTGATGGCGGTGGTGGTGGTGGTGGTGGTTGGTGGTGGTGGCAGTGGTGGCAGTAAGGGTTAGGGACTTAAAGCCGGCTCTGGCTGCTGGGTGAGATGCTGCTGGGAAGTCTGTAGTGTTCAGTCAGGAGCTAGGATGTCAGGCTAGACCAGCTTGGCCTTGATTATCCCTTTTCCTTCCTCAACGTGCCCTACAGGTGAAATATATTGAACTGAAAATATCAAAGACATCTGCAGGGTGTCCAGGCTCTTGTTATTGTCCTGCTTGAATCTCACCCCCGGAAGCCCCAGAGATCTTTTCTTGGTAAACATATATGATCTCCAGATGGGACTGTCACCTCCCCCTGTCCAGCTGCTGGAGGTATATAGGTTATGTAGCTACTGATGCTACTTGGATCGGGAGGTATGGGGAACTTATCAGAAGAAAGGAAAAGTTAATTATTGTGAATTTCTTTCAAAAGATTGTGAATCTTAGCTAAGACCTGGCATCTGACAGAAAATAATAGGATGGAAAGCTCTGTCAGGATTCTCGGGGATGGGAGATTTAGAGCTCAGTGAGATCATCGCTGGAAATAACCTTGAAACTGATGTGGCCTTGCTTAACTTTGGCAGTTGGACCACCCTTCTTACGCAGGTACAGAGACTTCAGATCACGGCAGTCACTGGGGTCAGCATCCAGAGTAACCTGCCCCAAGAACTGATCACAGAATTTTCGACTGTTCCAGACCTGGAGAGACAAATCAAAGGCATGAAGATGAGCAAACCTCTTTGAGATTAGCCTTTTCCCAGTGACATCTAGAACCTAACACTGAGCTTGGAATGATCTGTTTCAAAACCAAGAGACTATTCTGTCCTTTCCAGATAGCCCTTTGGCTGAGGTGATGATATCCTAAAGACTAAAGATGGAAAAATCTGAAAGTGGAGCTCAGGATTATGCTTGACCTGTAGAATGGTTACCTAAAGGCAGCTGGGTCAGACATATTAAGTCAGAAAAACCGCCAGACTGTAGTGATTCACCCCGACTTAGCAATGTAAGGTTCATCTGAACTGGCATATGCTTTCCCTCATGGGATTTTATGGTACATGTGTTAACATGCATACCTGTAAGCATGTGGGCTTTTTCCCACAATGAAATAAATGGAGGAGTGGAGATTAGTAAGAAAGTCAGTGTCCATGCTTGGTGGGAGGTGTTTTTGAGTATAACCAAAACCAAAAAATGCCAACACGATAACTCTTGCTCTGCATCCTAAACATATGTGAGGTACTTAGGATAATCTAGTAACTGATGCAGAATATGAGCCACCCTGGGGAGCCCTGTACACATTCTTACCTGTACTATAATAGGAATGTCAGTGGTCCTTCTGTAGAAAATGGCCTGGGTGTCAAAAATGGCATGAACAGTATTCTTCTGAACAGGAGAACGGACTTCCTCCTTTCCACACTTGATGACCAAATATGGGTTCACAGCTGGAACGAAGTGACATTTTTTTTTATGTCTAGTAACAGTTTATAAATTACACATCTAAGATACAATGTCATTAAATAACATTTGTTTTTAACACAGTGATTAAAGTTCCCTTTCTAGATAGGCAAGCTATCTCACTAAGTCAATTCTAGGATTTTCAGCATAACACTCAAGCACCAGAATGACCTATAACTCAACACTTTTGTTCCTACTACCTTGTCCTTTTCCATATTTTATATAGGAACATAAAAATTAATCTTATGTAGGCCTGGCTCAAAGAAGTTGACATCCCATTTTCTGCCACGTTTGCCATCCATCCTGACTTTTCTAGACTGAAAATATCACTGGATAAAATAATTCGTGACCATCTTTTCTAACGGTATGTGCCATAAATGCAACTGAATTTATCTTTTCCAGACACTCCTGCATTTCTTACTTTCATTGGCATACTTCTTCTCCAGGCCCTCAGCACTGTGAACGGTGATTTGGGTGACTACCTTTGGGTAGCCACGAGCCAGGTTCCAACAAGACATCTTGGGCATGTCCAGAGTCAGTTCCCTAGAACATCAAAAAGAAGATATGTCATTGAATGATGAACACCTTTTGATGAGATGAGCCTGCTCCTATAATTTGAATGTCTGTCCCCCAAACCTCATGTTGAAATTTGATCCCCAATGTTAGAGGTGGGGTCTAATGGGAGGTGTTTTGGTCATGGGGGCAGATCTCTCATATGGCTTGGGGCCATCCTTGCAGTATCAGTGAATTCACACTCTTTTAGTCCCTAGAGAGCTGGTTGTTAAAAAGAACCTGGCACCTCCTCCCTCTCTCTTGCTTGCTCTCTCACCATGTGATCTCTGCACATGCCAACTTTTCTTCATCTTCTGCCCTGAGGAAGCAGCCTGAGGCTCTCACCAGAAGCAGATGCTGGTACCATGCTTCTTGTACAGCTTGAAGAACCATGAACCAAATAGACCTCTTTTCTTTATAAAATACCCAGAATCAGGTATTTTTTATAGTAACAAACAAATTAAGACACCTGCCAAAGCAGACATTGTTGTTCAAAAGCATGAGACACTGGATGACCTAGTCCATTCCTTCTCAGATATGGCTTATATTTTGAGTATGTTTTCCTTTCCCCTGCTTTAAGGACCAGTAGATAAAGATCAGAGTAGGCAGGGCTAGGCAGGAAGGTAGTTTTGGTGACCCAGCACCCAGAATATAATAGAGGAGCAGTGAGGAGTGGCAGCTGCTTAAGAAAAGAGGGAGTCAGCCAGAGAACAGAGGATAAAATATAAGTTAGGTTATAGGCCTGTTCCCCTTAACTGACAGCTCAGGGCTCTGAAGCTCAGACCTTCTTCACTGGCGAATTTCTCATAAGCCCACTTTGAACATTTCTGCCATCATGATTTCAGTTAGTTAAGTCTGATTTGAAAAAGTTGTCCCGTTGAGTGTCTGCAAAGGGGAGATGAGTCAAGTGGTTTATGATTGGAGGCAGAGCAGAGAATAGGAGTTTAGAAGTCTTTCCAAAGAAACTGAACCTGAGCTGGACAGGCACTTCGGAGAAGATTCTTAGGAGAAACTCGCTGGTACGGCCATGCTGGAACATGGTTGGGACAAGCACATAGTTGCCCTTCTTCAGGTACTTGCTCAGAAACACAGTGCGGGTGTCAATATAGGTGGAAGTCCCAGCACGCTCCTGGATGTAGAGGTGGTGGAGGCGGAATTTGCGGTTCATCTCCACCTGAAAATGAAATAAGATAAAATATCCCATTCTGCTCAAATCATGGTTTTTGTCTTGGAAGATCGTAGGTCCTTTGGTCTTGTTTATCCTTGGTCCTTTCATAATGCCCCAACACTAAACCATCATAATTTTGACTCTGCGTTCATTCTCTCTGTTCCAAATGCCCATTCATACCTTGAAAAGCTCAAAGCCAATGATGTAATTGTCAGGTCTTCCCATTCGGCGGTAAGTGCGCAGGTCCTTCTGCTGCAGTGACATGATGACCTTGTGCCCATCCTCAGGCACGGTGAAGATGTACTAAGGGAAAGAGGCCACCAAAGAGCTGAGTTAGCACTCCCATTTCAAGTAAGCCAGCTCAAATTTCAGAGACGAAAACTCTGCATTGGGAAGCAAAACCTTGGGTTATTTCCTGGACTTTGCTATTGATCAGACAATGAGAACTTGGATAACTCATTGACTTGCTAAGTGTAGATCATAACACTTGCTTCTCCCTATGGCATTCAGTATTTGTTGAGGGACAGCTTCATTCTTATGCCCTTGATGACAAAGAGGGTATGCTTTGCTTTATTAAGTTCTTGGTAAGTTATTTTATTATTATTGTTATCACCTTGTTTTTAAATTCTGTATACAGAAAAAGTCCAGAAACTATAGACAGAAAGCGTTCTTATTTGACTCATGCTGATACTGCAGCATCACGCTGGGCTAGTCTCCTATTGCTAGCCCGATATACGGCCTGTGGAAGGGCTAGATCCACTTCCTTAGAGAATTGATGCTCTGCTGCCATCGCTTTAGGGAAACTACAGGCTTGTGCCTGAGACTTTCCAAACATTATCTGGGGAATCATGGTGCTGTTGGGAGATAAAACTAAAAGGCATCAGACTTTTTTCTGTGTCTTTGTCTCTCTCTCCCTCCCTTTATAAAAAAGCAGAAAACAGATGCAGAACCAAGCCCCCCAAAGGTCAATTCTATGCATACACATACAGTGAAGCTATTTCCCCAGCTTGGTGTATGTGCATGATACTTGAAATATTTCCAGGGTTGTAAATGGAGAAGAGGTCCGGGGGGTGGCGAGTGGTAATAGGAGCTCTCTTTTCTTTAGCAACAACTAAGATGGAAGGAATGGAAGACAAATACGAGTTAGGTAAATCATCCCATTGGCCTTGGTGTCCTCCAAAATGCCTGGCAATGAGGTCCATGGAAAGAAAAGACAGACCCATGGGCAGTGAGGCAGCAATACAGTCAGAATTCTTGTCTCCTATGGGTTAGCTCGTCAGCACATTTGGGGATAAAACCACCCAGGTTATTGTAGATTGAGGCTTTAGCTATTTGGGTTTTTTACTTTGGGGTGTGCCTGGGGATTTTCTACTTTTTAACTTGACACTGATATGTTACCTGGAATAGCACAGTAATAAGAGATAGAGGGGATGGAGTCATTGACAGGGCAGTGATTGAAATCCTGGGGAAAATGACCTGGTTCTAGATGAGAAAAGGGAGGCATAAGAACAGGGTTCAGAAGAGTCACTTGCATGAGAAAGAGGATGAATATAGTAAATGTGCACCCAAGAGAACCGTTGGGCAGTAAAGAAAAATGAGGAAAAATTGAGACAGCATCTGGGATCAGATCTTCTCTTTCCAATGTGGGACCATCACAAGAAAAAGGGGGCTATCAAAGAGCCATACCAAGCAATAGGGCCAGGAGAGAGGCAGCCGGAGGAGGTGACTCAGATTTGATAATGTTGCCAAGGTACGTCTCTGCAAAGAGACACAGTCTGCTGTGTTTTATAAGCATCCAAGTGAATCCTCAGGGATCCCAGTTGATGAATATTACACAACAGCTGCAAATGGAAGACTTGATGCTAAAGAACTACTCCAGAGAGGACCAAAGTGAGACCTGGGTTCCTATCGACTGGGTAACTTGGAGGCAAAGAAAATAATTAACTCAAACCTGGGGATTCTGCAGGAAGGTATCACGGTTGTTATAACAGCCTCCTGAGCGGTTCATCAGGGGATCATCATCCACGGTCCAGCATCCCAGCACCGACTCAAGCTCCTTTCGGCCAAAAATAGGGTTGTTCACATTGCGGCAAACATTCAGTTTGTGAAAGTTACGGCAAAAGTCCTCCAGGCTCATCCTGAATGAAGGGAGTGCAGGAAAGAAATGATGATGGTACTGAATACTTACCCCTGTATTTTCATGTAGAAGCCCCAATTCATTTAGTGCAGAAAACTTCTTCTCACCAAAACTCTCCATCATCAGACATAATAAGCCCCAGGTTCTTGCGATCTGCTGCTGTGAGTTGCTGCCACTCTTCAGAACTAAAGGCAAATAGAGAATGAAACGATAAGCTGTTATGTTTGCCATTGATTTCCTATAGTAAGCAGGATGTCAAAGGAAGAGAATACATGAGGATTGAGCTTGCTTTATGTCACCTCTGGCTAGGTCACTGACCTTATGCCTGCCAAGAGCCCACAGTTGTCCCTGAGCATTGATGGCCCACTAGCAGTCTGCAGGGATGGGCTTGGGAGAACTACAGGGCTTTGGATGTAGTGGTGAAAGTGGAATGCCACTCACATTTCACTCCAGGGGCCACTCCATTCCTGTCTTCCCAAGGGGTTCCTCAGGCGAACCATATACAGCTTCTCAGCACTGAAAACTTCCACCAGTCTTTCTCCAAGACGGATCTTGCAAATATCAGTCATGGTATAGGTATGGCCCTTCAGTAGACCCCAGTCAGTTTCAACTTCTTGTTCCTCCTGATTGGGAGACTGAGAGCAAAAAAAGATACTTAAGGACACAAGAATTGGGAGACCAAAGTTCTGGCTCTCCTTCTTCCTCGATTGGTTTACCCCAGTATGATTGAAGCTAGTACTCCCCATGCACGTGGAAATTTGATCCTGACACCTAACGTGACACAAAAAAAGTAAAGGAAAAGAAATAAAGAATGTAATATAACAACTCAAACAATTCAGATTCAAACTAGCCACTGTAGTACATTGATAGGAACTGTGATAAAATTTGGTGGGGCAGGTTCATTCTTTGAGCACGCAGCTGTAACCTCAAGATCCAGGAGCAGAGACAGGAGGAATAATTTAGTGGAGGCTATTTACACCAGCTTTGGTCTCTGGTCAAATGATTTTTATGAAAGGATGAAAAATTCAAGCTCCTAGCCTCCACACCAGGGTTCAATGTGTATGTTAGCTTTGCATGTTCCATTAATGACTTTTCATGGATCTCCGGGTTAAGGGTGATATTCTCTACTAAATTTTGTAATCTCTTCTGCCAGAAGTGAGAATAGAGTGGTTGTTTTTGGCAAATACAAACCTCAATGGAGCAGCAAATCAGACCTCCTTTGGTGAATGTTTTGTACAGTTCTCCGAACAGCTTGTACTTTTCCTCAACAAGCTCAGTGTATCTTCCTTTCTGCATGTCAACAGTTTCAGCCAATGTGCCCGTGAAGTCCACGATGATATCAGTGATGGTCAAACCATCCAGGGCCTCATAACAGCCTAGCAGCCTGGGGGCAAATATGCAAGGTTAATCTTAGCAAAATTATTTTTCCAGGTCAAGGACCTCATGTTCCCAAGAATTAGAACAGTCCCTCCCTAGGTTTTACCAGCTGGCTTTTCTCTAGGTATGAAATGAGAGAAAAGTTGAGATTATAGTCAGACATATCTAGCCTTAGGCTCTATTGATCAAGGACAGTCAGTGCAGAGACTTCTTCCCACAGGTAGATATTAGACAAGAAAAAAATGAGGTGATACTGCCACGTGATCTGCTGATTAGCAGCAGGAACGGGTACCTAGAAGCAAGTAAAGGTTCAAATGGAAACCAGAACAGCGGATTACTCTCTCATCTAGGATTTCTAAGAGCCAGACCCAGGCCCAAAGGAATACCTTGGATGGGACTGAGATGCTATCCAATTTAAGCTCCAGGGTTGGGCTGGGAGAGAATGAGCTCCCAACGTGGCTTTCCTTTCCTCAGGTACCCTGACCGCAGACTAGTCAACCCCCTCCTTACTTTGCATAAGCTTTCTCCAGCAGAGCATTCCAAAACTCATTCATGGAGGTGGAGAAGGAGAAGACCAGATCTCCATTGATGGTGGGCAGCAAGTCATCAATCACCACCTCGGTCCATTCTCCAAAATGCCAGAAACGAAAGCGAAATATCCCGGCATATTTATCTGGTTTTCGAGGGTCCCATTCCTGTTCCTTATGATTGGGAATTGTCTGGAAAGGTAAGAACATTTAACCAAGTGTTATTGACCACATCACATCCAGATATTGAGATTGCAGTTAACTCCTGATAAATCCATATGGTGATAGGAAGCAAAATACACTTGGTTTGGGTCTGGATAGGAAAGTCCTAGGTATAGCATTTTGCCCACAACTTCTGCTTTCCCAGTTCGGTTCTGCTGAGAATAATCACGATGCCTGCCCTAAGTGCACACAGGAGTACACAGGGTGGCTAGGTTAGCTGGTCAGGGGTTAAATATTTCCTACAGATTATCTATAAACTAGATGTTGAGAAATGGACTATACAAACACATTCATGATTGCATGTTTTAACACATAAACAAGGCATTTTAAAAAAGAAAACCAATCAAAATATAAGGCCCACTGTGGTTTGTTTTTAAGTGTCCATTCTAGAGATTTCATATAGATTCTATGGAATATAGATTTTATTTGTATTTTGAAAAAAATCATGTTTAGGAAATTATCTTTTTTATATAACTATTACACATTAATATTCTAAAATTATTTTTCTGAGGAGAGTGCTCTTTGTCCCAAATCAAGTTAGCACCTCATTACCTTGAACTCTATATGAATGCTAAAGGAGTTTTTGTACTATTGATAATTTATTAGAAACTTCTCAAGGATCTATTTCCATCTTTCTCATCTTTTCTGTTATGCATATATGTTAGTGACTTCCTTGCCCTTACTGGCTTTATACCCCAGTAAGTACAGAGAATACAAGTATGCAAAGATACTAAGTCAAAGCAAGGCAAATGACAATAAAAAATCAACTAGTATATGTGACAAAGCAAGTAGAGTAAAATGCTAGTTGTATAATCTAGCTAGGTAGATGTGTGTCCACTGTAAGATTCTTTCAACTGTTCTGTGTTTGTGAAAATTCTTATAATGAAATGGAGGGAAGTCACCTAGTTAATACTGCTGCCTTCAGGAAATCTAAGAAAGTTATAAGCTGATTTTTCCTAAAGTTATTAAAGAAGACAAGAAGATAGAAACTGAATGAGGTCCCACAAGAGGGTGAATACCTTTGTCCAGTGAGACTCCTGAACAGCCAAACAGGAAAATGCAGAGATGATTGGCTTGTGCCCCAGTCTCCCCTGGATCAGCCGGTGGTTACTGATGTTGCCCACAATCAGACGGGGGTCGTCACAGATGTCCTGTGGATACAATAATTATATAAAGGTCTGAGAAGAGTTTCCCAAGAGTCACTGTGAGCTGAGCTATGCAGGACAGTTTTCATAGACGAGATAGGGTTAGGGTTGAAAGATGACTAGGATTTTCATAGATGGGATAGAGGGAAGGTTGAGGGAATTAAGAGAAAAACCACAAAGCAGTAGATCATCTAGCCACATGTGGGAAAGTGGCAGGAAATGTGAAAGGGGATGTAATGAGATAGGATGACATGTGCTGGTAAAGGGCCCTTGGACAAAGCTATCGTTGGGGTTTGGAAGAATTTTAACCACAGCAATGAACTTTGAAAGAGGAGAACCAGGGATTAGCACATTAGATTCTGATCCTACTTTGTCAGGATGAGATTTTCTGAAGCCCCTATGTTTGGAAGGGAGATTGCATTTAGGAGTCAAGGTGTGATGGAGGTGAACATTAATGCATCTCCCTCTCTAAGAAAATGAGTTAGGAAACCTTATAGGAAGCCCTTTTCTAACATAAAGCAAAGGCAACAGTGGTCTCCATGGCAACCAGATTTTTACACATAATTGGATTAACACAGATGGCAGCAGCATTAATAGCAAGTGGTAATAGACGACTCACAGGAGCACTTCAACAGACACTCTCCCCAGTGGATGTTCTGAGGGCATCTGGGCAAGGAGCAGAGGCAGTATTTGTTTGGGGGGGGTGTGTCTTCCCTCCAACATATCATTAGCTGTACCATTCCCACTGTGAGTGGGAAAATGACACCCAAATAATACCATTACAGCGCAATGTGATGATGGCACAGTAGAGCCATTTTCAAAGCATAATCAGTGCCTAGAGGAAAGATCCACATAGTTCTCCTGATCATAGAGTAAGTTGCACAGTGGTGGTAACATTTGAGTTGACTAGAGTTAGGCAGTTGGACAAGGGAGGGATATGGAAGCATAATAGGTAGAGAGCCAGGCATGGGTGAAGGCATAGCAGCATACATGACACCATAGAGTTGAAGACATAATTGTGTGACTCAGAGTATCAGCACTTGCAGAGTTCAAAGGCAGGAAATACCAGTGATGTCTTGAGTAGATGGAGAAAAGTTCATGAAGGAGGCCGGTGGCCAGTACCTTGACATTCTGCTTACCCAGCAGAAATAAATCCTAGTCGCAAGTGGAAAGAAAATCTAGACATATATCCTTTTAAAGAGCATTAGAGACAACTATATTTTTCTAGTCCTCAAACTTCTTTTTTTTTCATGGACATAATTCTCCTTGATGAAGGGTCTGGTCTATGCAATGAAACATTCCATATATTCTTTAAAAGCCAAAATAACTCTGGAAAAAAATAGGCATTCTGGGCAGGGACAAGTCCAAACTGAAGATTAATTGGGCATCCCTCTGCCAAAAGGAGATGGTTAGATGGGTCGTCAGCTTTGGATTTTCTGGTCTTCTTTTTTAGATGCATGTCTGGTGTCTCACCACTACTTTTTGTCTTGGGAGAAGTCTTCTATCTTAATAAATATTTTTATGGGTTGTGAGCTGCCTGTTTTTTTTTTTTTCTTATTGAACATAGAGCAGGTGTGTTGAGTTAATTAGAACTTGGTGTTCTTTCCCTTCTCATTATTTCTTTGCCTTTTCTAAGATAAAACTAAGCATTTCAGTATTTCTTCCCTAGGTCAGGTGTTATCATTTTATTTGGAGCAAAATGTAAAGTTATAGAATGATTTCTTGGACCGAGATGATACGTAGTATAGTTTCCTAGCATGGAAAAACAATCAAGTGAGCACTGATATGTGAAAAAGTGTGCCTTTTGATTACTAAGGCAAATTATTTCCTGGTTTTATGTAGAGTTATTAGTGGTTGCAGTTACATTACACTGTCTTGAATTTCCATAAGACTTTCATTCCACAGCAGGGATCTAGGCTTAGCCAACATTTTTGTCATGTCAACACCTATTGAAGACATAAAGGTCACATATATGAGCAAAAAGACATATAAACAGAATTCAAATTGAGGAAAAGGGTAATTATTCTCCTGCAGACTTAAGCTGGATGTGGTCATTATATATTATATGTGTTACATATATGTATGTATATATAATATTTATATATATTCATAGCTTTGTACAATCATGGGAGAAGATAGATTTGGGCAAAAAACCTTCTGATTTTCCATTTCCTCTTATAAACTGGCCCATTCATTAGTTTTACTTCACCACTCTTCATTCACGATGGCTATGTAACAATGGATTTAAAATGTAAGTACAGTCATAGAATATCCAAACCAGAAGGAATTTTAAAAACTATGTAGTCAAGCTCTTTATTTTGCAGATGAAGACACAGGCTCAGAGAGGGGAAGTGACTTGCTCTCTAATCATTTAGCTAGTTAGTAGGAAACCTAGGCGAAAAGTTTTGATTCTTCAGAACCACATATAATTAGGGAAGGAACCTCAAGACCTCAGCTGTTCATCCCTGTGCCTTTAGGTTTATCAATGGCCACCACATAAAGGATAATATTGTGCAGGTCCCCAAGGACAGAGATATTACCTCTCTCAGTCATCCATTCCAGTGTTTTACGCCTCTGCTTGACACTCACCTAAAAACTCTTCATTCTTTTGGAAGACTTGCTTAAGTTATCTCTTAGCTTTTGGTTCCAGGCTAAATGTCACCAATAGGCATTAATATCTTCAATTGAATCCCCTAAATATGAATCGATCTCTTATTAAATGTAAGCACCATGATGTGAAACATGGGAGACCAATCTTTATTAAGCCATATCTTTTACTTCTTTAAGGAAATAAGGCATTAAAAGACTGGAAAATAGCAAGAGTTAGAAAGGGGAAAGGGTAATGAACCAATGAAAAAAAAAAAAGAAGTCTAACAGCCAACTAGAGTTTTTGGTAACAAATTTGAATACAATGAAATGGCTATTTATTGACTTTCCCCCTGGTTTTGGACACACTGGATATCTTCCTGGTGGGGTCAAGGAAGTACGATTGGAGAAATTTTTCTGTAACTCAAAACTGAGATGCAGAGTGCAGATGGGATGTTTCAGCCTGAGCTGTGCTGCAGTGGTAGGAATGAGGTTGGAGGAAAGGTCACATATTCACAATATTTGGGTGGCTTGGGGAAGATTTTGAGCCCCTAATGGCTCCCAGCTGTGTTGGCACAGTTGAAGTGATCCTTGAACTGGGTTGTTTGTCACAGCAAAATAATTTCTTAGGGGGAAATGCACACAGCTAGGCAGTTGAGCATCAAGACTAAAGCTGGAATGGTTCCCACATGACCCCACACTGAGCCAAAACCTTCTCTAAGCGAAGCAACTTATGCTCCTCTAGGAAGTATGTTCTTTTAGCTAAGCCTTAAGAGACCTCTCATTGTCCTTATCTCATCCCCCCTCACCAGAGACCTCTGACAGGGGAGGGCACATACAATTACTAGGCCTGTAGCCCTGTACAAGTCATTCTATGTGGCTCCCTTTACACCTACCACATCCAAATCTTTAGCAATTTTTTTTACACAGGTGAAATTTGCTGACAATAAATATTGAGGTCCAGGCTAAACCTCAAGAACCACAGTAAAATGAAAGGCTACCCAGAAAACCAACAGCCAGAAGAGTGGAGGCACTTTCAAAAGTGCCGTGTGCAATCTAGCAGTACTGGGGGATATGGGTATGGACACCTACAAGTGAGACCCGCCCTGCAGTAGGTACGTGATGACTAAGTCCAGGGTCTAAGTAGTCCCAGAAGGCTCAGGGGCTAATTTGCACAGAACTGCCATTCAAAACTGAGGGCTTTGTGAGGTGGTCCAAGTAGCCATTATTTTATTCTTAGAAAGTTGAGAACCATATCCAGATGGAGCATTTACAGGTAGACCTAGGTTCAGGGACCAATGTTATTCCAGACTCTCAAGGAGTCCACTTTACCTGCTGGGAAGTTTTATTTCTGCATGAAGATCTAGTCATCAGTAAAACATTCTTTTCCTTCCTAACCCCTCTAAGGAAAACTCAATATGGAGCCTGAGAATAAGATCTTAAACCCAACTTCCACTTTCAACCTAGACAACTAAGTCACTACATAATCACTTTCTTACTTTAACCTTCTGATTTCTGCAAGGAGACTCAAAATACAGATCCCAAACTGCTTTCGTGGAAAGAATTTATGTATCTATGCAATGGAATACTGTTCAACAATAAGAAAGAACAAGCTGATACTGGACGCTACAATATGGATGACCTTTGAAAACATTATGCTAAGCAAAAGAAGCCAGTTACTCTTATGATTCTACTTTAAATTAAATTTACAGAATAGGCAAATCTGAATAGAAACCAAAAGCAGATTTGTGGTTGCCTGTGGCAGGTGGGGTGGAGGGATTACTTGCTGAAAATGTGCACAAGGGATCTTATTGGCGTAATGCAACTATTCTAAAACTGGGTTGCTTGCAAGACTCTAAATTTACTAAAAATCATTGCTTTGTACACTTAAAACAGATGAACTTCACGGTATATAAATTTTACTTCAATAAAGCTGTCAAAGATTTTTAAACACAGAACTTAAAATGAATAGAACAGTTGCAGAAAAAAAGTGTGGGCCTATTCAACTTTCTTCAATTGTGTAAACAGCTCACATTGGAAGGCCTGATCTCTGGGAGAAAAAAGAAATTCATTAATAGTCTAGACCAAAACTACTGTACAGAGATGTCACATTCAGCTGGTAGTTGGAAATTTCTATTAAGACAAAGAGAAAATTATTTCTTCCTTTACTGTCCCTTCACATGCTATCACCCAAACCTGTATATTCTGCTTCTAATATCTCCCCTCGTCAGCCTTTCCCTTCCATTCCGACTACCATAGTTTTAATCCAGAACCTCATCACCCCTCCTTCACACCCAGACAAGGGAGTAAAATGGCCCCAGCAGGGGGTATTCCCCAGAGAAAGACTGGCAAGGGCAATGATAGTAGAGGCTGAACTTAAACTAGCCAGAAGAGCTGACAGAAGATCTTGTGCAGGTGCCCTTTCTTCTCCCACAGCTGGCTGTGCAAATTCCCATAAGGCCTTGCTTCATTTTAGGGATTAGACGTGTCTGACTTGAAGACTCTATTGTAGGTGGATATGAGTCAGTAAGGAAAAAGCCAGAGTAGGGTATGAGGGGAGAGTAGCTGGAGGGATTTGGAGAGAGCTGGAGAAGAGATTTTCTGTGGGAATTTGGCAGCCAAATTTCAGCCTAAAAATCCTACCTGGAGTCTTATCTCATCTCATCCTCACTGTAACTCAGTATATGCTGAGCCCCAGGAGGACAGGAAAGTCCAGGAGCATATGGTCCCGGGCAATATACCTGTGTACCCAGAAAGCTAGGACAATAGCTGGGGCCATTGCACTACTGGGGGAGTTAAGAAGAACTTTCCTCAGGAAGGTATGGACAGATGATCTGGCGTTGTCTGCCAACGACCATCTGGTCTTCCTGAGCCAATTCAGAGAGGCCCAGCACTGTCTCTCAGCTTTCCTGATGGGAGGCCAGAGAACTTTGACGTGGTTCTTGACCACAGGCTTTGTCTATCTAAAGAGACTTTTTAAAACACAGCAAGGAAGTGGCAAGTGGAAAGGAGGGAATCTCAATCCTGCCCCTGGATGGTGGGAGGGCTTGATTGGAGTCAGTTTATTAAACTATCAGTCATGTTTACAGGCATGGAGGCTTATGAAGGCAGAAGCTTTCAACTCAGGAGAGGGAAAAGACAGAAAATACCAGGTTAATCATGCTCCTTCCATTTTGGAGACTTCACAAAATAGCCCTGGTTATGTGTGAGGCTATGTGACATGCCAAGGGACAAGATGTCTGTGAGCTTCCCTGCAAACCAGGATCTCAACCCTGCCAATGAGGCAGAGGAGGCCAACGACCCATCTGGTCTTCCTGAGCCAATTCAGAGAGGCCCAGCACTGTCTCTCAGCTTTCCTGATGGGAGGCCAGAGAACTTTGACGTGGTTCTTGACCACAGGCTTGGCCTCCACTCTGGTTGGAAAGGAATCCACAGTTTTTTGAGGAGGCTCAGATGGTGGTCCAGAACCTTGTTTTTTCTCCTACTCCCCACAAGAGGCTCCTTTCCCAGCCATTCCAATCTACAGTGATCTTCCTTTCTTCAAATTCTACATGATTTACTGCCTATATGTTTGAAAATAGCATTTCATATATCTAACATTAATTTCTTATTTAACTCTTTGATAGCTCAATATTTGTCTCCCCAACTAAAATGGGAGTGCTCGCCACAGACCATGTCTGTATCTTGCACAGAGGCTGGCATAGAGTAGGTGCTCAGTAAATGTTTCTCCAGTGACTCTATCTTTGGGTTTAAGAAGACTAAGCTCATACTATGCTCTCAAAACTGGAGAATATGGATCAATGGATGGAAGTATGGCATCAACACAGTGAGGAGGAGTCTTAGAACTGACTGGAGAGAAGCTACCTATTTTGGTAAAAAGAGGAGACACAAACTCTATTTCCCTGATATGACAGCACGGTAGAGTGAAAACTTATATGGGCTTTGGAGGGAAAACTGGATTCAAATCCCAGCTTGCTAGCAGTTTGACCCTGAGCAAATCCTTATCTTCTCTCAGAGATCCAGTTTCCTCATCAATAAAATGGGCATAATATCTACCATTATTTTTTAAACTAGGAAAAAGGAATTGCACCAAAGTAATTTTTAACATACCTACCTTGCTAAGCCATGGCAAATAAGGGTGAAATGAAATAATATATAGAAAACTCCAAACACAGTTATCTGGCCAAAAGTAAGTATGTCTTAAATGTTGATTCTTTTTTCTTCTCATCCCCATTGTTCACCCTTTCTCTCTGACATTCCCTTACCCTAGCGAGGTTATTGCTTGCCTCAGAGGCAAAATGAACTATTGCTATGGTTATTAAGTTTTTTCCTTCCCTGCTAATCCATCTAGGATTCAATCCACAGAATTTGGATGATGAAGGCAAAGGACAAAGGAATGAGCCAAGATAGAGGGGGAAGGATGTGTCTAAATCCAGGCCAGTACAGGAAACACTGTCTGCTTGGTGCACATCTGGGGAATGGCTTCATGTTGGCTTGCAATTTTGCCGCCCACCAGATCTCCTCCCACCTCCTCCTGGACCTCACCCTCATCAGTCACTCTTTTTCTCTCCTTCATTTTCAACCTGTTCTTTACTGTCTGCTCCTTAGCCTATAAATACGTTCAAGTCTGTCCTATTTTAAAAAGACACCCACCCAGTAAACCTCTCTCAATATCCTGCTTCCTTTTCAGCTACTTCTGCCCTGTTGACACGCTTTCCTTCATATCCGAGCATCAGAAAAGAGTGGTCTCTCATTATCACCATTCATTCATAAGAGTGGCTCCCAGACAACATGTTTCTAGTTTCTCCGTGTATTTTTGAAAGAAAAAACAAAAGCCTTACCTGTCTGCATACCCAGTTAGTGGTTAGTGGATTCTGCTTGTTTCTCAGATTTTTATTGCAGGTCAGCAAAGTAATCTGCAGGGATGTCAACAACTGGAAGCACAGAAAGGCAGGAGGAGTGCAATCTTCCTCCAGACAGGGAGAATTTCTCCCAATCTCTTACTTTCAATGGCTATCATTCTTTGTAGGCAAAACCCAAAATATGTCCTTTGAGTTGCATAGAAAAACAAGTCTCCATGTAACCAATGTATCTTGGCACCACCTGGTGGCAACCTGCATGAACTGAAGTAGCTCTTGCTGGAACTCCATTTAGGAGTTTAAACTGTGGAAACTGCAACTAAAAAGTGATAGCTTGCTCATTGAAGAAAGCAAACATTGAGGCAGTGACTATAATAGTGCACAGAAAGGTACCTCATTAAATAGGATCACAATGTCTTCAGGATATTATGAAGGTCCAAGAACCTGCACTTGACAGCAGCCCCCTGTTGCTTACACATCTAATCGCCCACATTGGGAAGGAACCCAGGTACAATATCCTTCTATCCAGTTACATCCTTTAGATATAGCAAAGTTGCTATTTATTCTCCAGACTCCATCATCCCATCGTTTTATACATTGAGTTCCTGCTCATGTAGGACTTGTGAAGGGGTTCTGAGACTTGCTTGAGAGAAACAACATACAGATGTTTTACAGAGAACCATAACAACTATTAATAGCTACTACTAATAGGTGGTAAAAAAAAAAGAAGCTGCAATTCTATCTGGATCCCACTTGGCCAATTATGGGATGATACAAGTGATGATATCCAAAGAGCAACAAAGAAGCTTCCCTCCCTCAATGCAAAATCCAACTTCTCCCTGTAGAATTCATGTCATTTATGCTCACTGTATAAACAGCTTTTCTCTTCCCTGGTCTGAGATTATCTTTAAGTTGCTATGATAAGTAACTCAGTGAGGAGGGAAAAGTGTAATTGCTTTTTGAATTACTGTATTTACTCAAATGAACTTCCAAAAGAAAATAAGCATGACATATCTTCTCTTTTTTTTGCTGTTTTTTAAAAATTACTAAATCTGGCAAAATTTGACTAAAATTCTGGACTCCTTAAGCTAGAGCCAGAAGCACAGATCCATGAAACTTCCCATTTTAAAGTTGCCTTTGTGTGATGAATATACTAATAAGCTTGATTTTGGTAATCATTTCACAATGTATACATGTCAAAACATTATGCTGCACATTGTAAATATATACAATTTTATTTGTCAATTACACATTAATAAAACTGGATAGGCCAAGTGCGGTGGCTCACGCCTATAATCCTAGCACTTGGGGAGGCCGAGGTGGGAGGATCGCTCGAGGTCAGGAGTTCGAGACCAGCCTGAGCAAGAGGAAGACCCCGTCTCTACTAAAAAATAGAAAGAAATTAGCTGGACGACTAAAAATATATAGAAAAAATTAGCCGGGCATGGTGGCACATGCCTATAGTCCCAGCTACCCGGGAGGCTGAGGCAGTAGGATCGCTTGAGCCCAGAAGTTTGAGGTTGCTGTGAGCTAGGCTGATGCCACGGCACTCTAGCCCCGGCAACAGAGTGAGACTCTGTCTCAAAATAAATAAATAAATAAAATGAAACTGGATAAAGAAAGAAAAAGAGGAAGTTGACTCCTAGGCTGCTCTACACATTAGTCCATGTAAGTGAAATAGTGGATCAAGTAGAGTTATGATGAAGGAGGTCAAGAAGGAGACAGAAAGTAGAAAAAAAAACGTTACCTGGGGACGTTTCCACACCACCTTGCCAGGAAGCAGTCGGTTGTAGAAAAGAGAATCGTTCTCAGGCAGAAAAGTTGGGTCGCAGAAAAGTTTACTGTCTTTGATGCATTCCTGCTTCAGTTCCTGGTACTTCTGGTTTTTGAAGAGCTTCAGAGGAGGACCCATAGTGTCAAATTATGCCTAGAATGAGGAGAATTGTTGTCTTTGGAGGAAGAACTTCTGAGGTCTTTCAAGGATTACCTGAGATTAGACAAACGGCAATCATCCCAGTGACTTCTTCCCAGACCTAGGCACTTCAAATTTGGCTTTGAAGGAAGTCAGCATTTTTAAGGAAAGAAGAGTCCAGGCTCTGCAACTAATTAGTATGGGGCTTTGGGTAAGGAACCTAATCATTTTGGGGACTAGTTTTATTATCTGCCAAATGGGGCAAATGGGGCTTCCTCATTCATTGGGAAAAATAGAAAATAAATGTGAAGATTGCTAGTTAAATGTGAATTGTTATAATTTAAAGGGCAATCTTCCATTTACACTGGTAGGGAGTAGTTCAAGGTAAAGTACAATTCTAAATTTGAAGATAGAGGGGAAAAAATCACTTTACTGTATTCAGAATAAATTGGTGCCCTGGACAGCCGCCCACTTTGTGCACGAGGGAGAAGCAGCCTTTCTCCATCCTAACAAGTCCTTTTACACAATTCCTTCCCTTTCATCATTTCAAGAGCTTTGCATTTTTTATTACTGGCCAGGAAGGCTACTGCAAAAAACAGATCTCAGCAGATGGCCTCCAAAGACAAGGAAAGATAGAAAGATTGCATGGTCTTTCTTCTTCAAAGTCTAATATACAATCATTTTGCCCGTGATAAAAGGCAGACTCTGAAATTCAATTACACTAATTTGGTGGACTATAGATTCTTATCCCATGACAATACACTGTTGCTTTCTTTTCTTAAAAAAAAAAAAGAGAGAAAAGAAAAAAGGGAAAAAAACCTCACATGGCTAAACAGAGTACTAATATAGTGGCTCTTCAGGCAATGTCTGTCAGCGTGTCCCACACTCAAATACCCCTAACAACTGGTTTTTATGAAGATAATTTGAAAGGCAAATTTGATTTTAAACAGCTTTGGGGGTGATAATAGGGTTTTCAATGCCTTTTCTTGATTCACAAAGATAGATTTGTAATGATTTTAATGATCCTCTGCTGAGGTTCAATAGTAAGTAAGAACAGGGTTGTGAAATTTACATGGCATCAACTGTTTCAAAAATATATATTAAGAATAACTGTCTATATTCTATGATCACAGGATGGTTGAAACAAAGCAACCTGATCAAGGTCCAAAGTGTCTGCTAAAAAAATGAATGAAATTTGAAAAAAAAAAAAAAACAAACCCAAAAGGATACATTGCCACTTTAAAGAGTATCTGTCTGGTATATCTGTGAGGCTGTCGCTATTTTATATAAAAATGTAATATTAATCAGACCTCTCTGCTAGCTCATTTCACGTCCTTTTAGTATCACATTGAAATGCCTCCCTGGTGAAGAAGCTTCCCCGTTCAAAAACCATAAGATTTTTTAATTTAACTTTTTGCAATGTTATTTGCAATATACATACAACAAACTTACCCTTTCTCTGAATCCAAGGAATAAGAAGCTGAAAATAACCACGATTTTTTATCACCTTATTTATTGACAATTGCTTTTGAAATTGAGGGCTGCGGGGACACTGCAAAGTGCCAAAGTGCCTTCCATCATCACATTTAAGTCTGCTCTCATGTTTTAAATATTAAAGTGTATTTCATTGTATATGAAAGCATGGATGTTATCAGTAATAATTTTTAGTTATGCAGCATCAGAACCAATCTGCATGTTTGCCCAGGCTCCTTTCTGGAGCCTGCTACAAATGAACCCCAATTTTTGTGTGTGCTCAAACTTATAAAAAAAACACTACTGTGCCTCTTGCTTTCCCTAGAAGGTTTGGTGGATTGCCAGAGGCTGGGGACTGTAAATGTAGGATATTCTGGGATAATTGGAATATTTAGTTTGCCAGAACCTCCTAGTCCCTGAACAGTCTGGATAAATGGGTATTTCCTGCTCTGCCCCCATAAGTCTCCCTTACCACTCAAATGGTGAGGCAGACAAGAGCTTGCAAAGGGAATCCCTGTTATAAAGAGGGCCCGTCTACAGGAGCAGCATCAATTGAAACAAAAATCAGATTTGATTTTAAAAACCAACATGATCCCAGGAGACTCTTTCAGAGGCAGAAAGTACAGCTGGTATGGGTAGGTTAAAGCTCGACAGAATGCCCTTTTGAGTGGGGGTGTCTGCATTTGGGGGTCACACAGTAAATAAGGAATAGCAGGCTATGAGCCTGAACTGTCACCGGAGTACAATTGTCCCCTCAAGTCCTGTCGGACTTGCAGAGTAGAAGTGATCCCCATTTCTGACTAGGTAACAGGAGAACTGTGTTCCATTTGCTCTGTGGCTTTGTTCTCTTTGTGCCTCAATTTTCTCATCAGGAGAGTGAGCTTATCTACCCTGCCTCCCCCAACCTTACACCACAGCTGTATCTAATGAGATGGTTAGTGTAAAAGTAATTTTTAATAAGTCAAAAGTGCTCTGTAAATGCAAGATATAAGCTGAAGCCCTCTCATTGCCTGGCACAAAGCTGGGCACACAACCATTGTTCAGAAAATATTTGTTGAACAGATAAAGGTCTTATGTAGAGAATTAACGTTTGTATGGCAATTTATTGTTTGAAATGTGCATCTTGCATTTTAGTTCCTGTTCTTGTCATAGTAGCTGTGTTTAGTAGAGATATCTGTGTCCTTCGTTTCATATGCAGAAATGGCAGCTCAGAGAAGCAGCAGCTAGAAACTGGCAGAGCCAACTCAAACCCAGGTTCTGTGCAATGCTAGATTTTGGTGCGCAGCTTTCCATCACACCACACTGCTTCTTTTGGTCACTGCCTTCTTAGAGAAAGGATTTTTTAGTTCAAATGAGGAAACTCTCCAAAGCAAACACAATACCCAACTTTGAGGCATTCTGCCTAGAATTTATTGCCATGGTGGATATTGAAAAGGTTCTTTATTTTCATGGTTTGATGATCATGGGAGAATCCGCACACTTTACATCTGAGGGTTCATCATTAACCCTCAGAAATCTTTTGAAAATCCAGAAATTTGCAAGTTGGGTTTGTCATAAACAACTTGCCCTGTCGAAAGGGAGGAGTGTGGAGAAGGGAATGTTCCTTCCTTGCTGTCCTACTGGTGTTGGGGAGGGGAAAGCCCTTAAAGTTAAAGATTACATATTAGGAAAATCAGTAGACAAAATAAAAGATAAGACTTTGGGTATAAATTTAAGACTTTGAGTATAAACCAAGGAAAGCCTCTTGCTAACAAAGGAAATGTGGGCATTTAAGAAGAGGGACCTTATAATCCAAGGGTTAGTGGAATGAGTGGTTGGATGAGGCAGAGTGTGGTTTAGCACTGAGGTAATGCTCTTAGGCAGTATTATTTTAATTTGGACTCACTACCTAGAGAAAGAATATAAGGAAGAGTGAGTCTACCAAGGTGAGAAACGGGAGTGGTCTCAGAGTGTGGAAAGTTTGGAATTGCCGGGGGAAGTTGAGGGAGGCTGCTACATAGAATGCAAGGCTGCAGTTAGGAGAGGGAGCTTTTGCTACTCATTGGACTGGAAAGGTTGAGGGAACTAGGCAAACTCTAAGGGCAAAATATCTTGCTTCTTTACCTGTGGGTCAGCCTTAGAGTAGAAACCAGATTTGCCTCTAAATATCTCACAAAGGAAATCTAGTCTGTGGTTCGCAAACAACTTTAGATTTAGGTGAATGGGAGAGAAAGTGAGGGCTCTCAAGGGAGAGAGGGGGAGAGAGCATGGCTCCAGGGGCATTGTCCCTGGCTAGTTTCTCCTTTTCCCCGGTTTCTCACTTGTTCTGTACGTGGGGCAAAAAATTGGGGGTGAAAACAATTAAAAGTTTGCAGACAAATTAAATACAGAAGACCCAGCTCCGCCCTGGCACGAAATAGGTGCCACTTTAGTCACAATCGGCCCCCCTTATCCCCACACCTGGGGTGGTGTGGTGAGAGAAACAAGGCTTGGATAGGAAGAAGTAACAAAACTTCAGCATCCACATGTTACACAGAGAATAGAACTTTCCATATCTACACAGGCTGAGTCGGAGCTTACATCTATGGGCACGCATCTGCCAGAGAACTTATATATGGCTGTTCAGATGCAAACTGTTGGCCAGATATTCTGGGGTCTGGAAGGGACCATAAAGGTCCTCTCATTCAGCTCACTGGCTTATATAGGACGCGCTGACTGTGCCCAGAGAGAAGATTATTCAAAAAATTCAAAGAAAAAAAGAGCACACAAATTTTTTAAATTCCATTGTTGAAGAACTCTATCAAAATAGAGAAAAAACAATTCCAAATCATAAAAAGAGCACAGGTAGTTAGAAGAACCAGGATAAAATATCAAATATCAAATGCCACGATTTAGTGTAGACAATGTCTCTGTCCCTCAGTTTTCCCATAAGCACAATGGGAATATGATGGCTGTCCTCTTTACCTCAGGGTGTTATTGGGAGGATCTAATGAAATTAAGTATGTGAACATACTTTTTAATTGTTAAGGATAAGGCTAATATAGGGCAGTAGTATTAGGAAGCATTTGTTTGTAGCAAATTAAATCTCATTTCTGTCCTTAGTGGAAACTGAGGAAATTCAATCGCAGGCTTTAAATAAGACACGCACCAACATTTAAAAGACAAATATAAAATGGCCCCTCTGCCGTTCTCTATTTAACCTCTTCTTTTTGGCTGACTTACCCTCTTGGCTGAATAAGCCCATCCTATAAGTCTACTTTTACAGACTTTCAAAACTCTAATTCTGATTTGTGTAGAATGTTATGGTGGAAGGACTCTTACAAAGCACTTAGTACAACCGCTTTCTTTTACTGTAAGGTAAAGGGACTTGCCCAAGGTTACATGGTTAGTGACAGAGCCAGCACTAAAACTAGGACCTCCTGATTTTTTTTTACCACAAGTTTTTTAAAGGTTGGGGGTGGGGGAGGTGAACACGAAAACACAAAACCTCAAGCAAGACATTGCTTTTGAAAATTCTCATTGTCCTCTTCTTTTAAGAATGCATTTAGGAATTTTGTTTTTGAATTGCAAGCTGTCAGAAGGTGGGATGATTTCAAATCAAGGCTAATCAAAGAAACACTGTTTTGGGGTCACAAAAGGGCTTTTTCTGCTTTTAATTTGGGAACTGAAAACTCCCAAGGATATGGAAAGCCTGCTTTTTAACCTATTCCTAACCGCATAAGTATTTTGGCTTTTGCCTAGACTGCTAGAAACTCTAAGGACAAATAAAGAATGCTATTCAAATCCAAAGTATTCACACACACTCGGGCACACACGTGCACATGAACACACTTGCACACACACAAACTGCCAGAGGCATGAAAGAGTTAATTAGCAGTCCCCAAAGACCTTTTTTTATCTTATTCCTTCAGACTATAAATTGTCCTTAACTTCATAATAAAAATTAGCAAATGAAGCATTAACTGAATTTCAATAAAACATTAATACAAACCGAGATGCTTTATCCTGAAGCCAGAAGTGACTGTCAGGACAGCAGAATTTGTTGAATTTTCCTATGCTTTTGGTGCTTTTCACCAAACTTAGAGTTCCAAACCTTCAGTACCAGTTATTTAATTGCAATGTTTCTTTCTACTGTTCCCCACCCACAGCTCACTCTGGTCAAGTGGCCCAGTGAAGCCCCTAGAGCAGTGTAGTCAGGCATGAGGGTGGGAGACAGAGCCCCAGCTGCAAACCAAAGTGTAAACCAAAGCTAGAATCAGACGGGAACAAAACCAGGCCTGGGGCTGAAAATGGAATAGCCAAGATCAACCTGTCACCAGGACAGAAGGGCCCCCCCGCCCCCGCTGTGTAGACAGGGAGTTAAGACAGCCTCAGCTGCCACTGTGTCCTGTGCACCAGTGCACAGCCTATGCACCCCACTGCCAGGGCCTTTTGCACACAGTGTGGCTCCAGAATTTTGCCTGCATTTCAATAATTTGCCCACAGCTGTGGGTCAGCGGGAACAGGAAGGAAGCCTTGACAGTGGCCAGGCTTCTCCCCCTTACATCCCCACCCCAGGTATTTCAGGTAGCAGAAGGCAAACACACAGGCGAGCGTGCACGCACGCGCGCGCGCGCACACACACACACACACACACACACACACACACACACACACAACTGATGGGATAGCTCCAGAAAAATCTCTGCCAGACAACCACAATCACCCCGCACACCCCAAAATAACCAACCAAAAATTTCATTATATTTGAAGTTTCCAAACTTCTATTAACGTGTACATATTCCATCCAGACAAACTGTAAAATTACAGCTGTGGAGTTTGATTAACTATAAAGATGAAGTTTCTTCACTTCCCTGACATGCTAAGTTACTCAGCAAATAAAACTCTAAGATCCCGTCTCTACTCACCTGAGTATCCCAGGAGCCTTGCTGCTGCCGCTGCTGCTCTTAGCCAGGTAACCCCACTAAGACTGTTCAGTCAGTGCGGCTGAACAAAGATTCTGGCTTTCTTAACCTGAAAACTATTTGGGCTGTACCAAGCTCTGCTCACAGGGGGAGGTGCCTCACAGCAACTTCAGGAGGCTTTGCCCCGCCTAGCAGTCAGAAACTGATCCTGAGTCATGAGGAAAATCTGGAAGGCGCCCCTGCCAGATGTGCAGACGGGATGCCCACTCCAGATCCACTCGCCAGCAAATTGGAAAACCCAGGAAGCCACGTGTGAAAGCTGTTTCGGTTCCAAGGAGAAATAGGACTTTCAGGGAGGGGTCTGATAGATTTCTGACTTTTCTGTCCCAGGGTTAATAGTGCAGACAGGAACATTACTCGAAAGAGGACATGCAGAGAAAAATGTTGAAGTATTGGCAAAGTTCTTGTGCCCTGGTACGTGGATTATGATAATGATGAGGACTTCAGCAAGCGAGTGGGTGTGAAAGAGCAGCTAATGGGGTACAGGAGAAAAAAGGTCACTCTGCGAAACAACAGGTAACATTTGGCCAAGGGCAGAAAGAAAGGAGTGTTAGGAGGGAAGTGAATGGAATTTGACTCCATGGCAGCTATAAGAAACCTAATTTCTAGCAATGGGGCTATGGAGATTCTGCCAAGTAGTGCTAGAGGAAAAGCAGAGTGAATAACTGTTTGCTCTGAAAGGCCAACCAAGAGCCTTCACTGGGGTGCTCAGACCCCTATAAATACTATGCCGCATCCCAGTCAAGGTCCTGCTCCTTTTGTCCTGAGACATTCATTGGGACACACTTCCAGGGACATGATTTTCAAGTTTGTTTCATTTTCACAAACTATCAAGGCTCCCATCATCTCATTCTCCAGCTTTCCTGAGCAGTGTATTGTTAACCCTTGAACCTGAAATTATTACTCTCTGCCCCTACCCCTCACCAATCCTCCTTCTGCCTAGTTGAAGATCTAAGAGATTGGGCAGGGAGAGGGGAGCAGAGAGAGAACAAGTGAGCGAGGTAGAGATCAACAAGGAAAGGAAGTATGTTCTCCCCACTCACTGGGCCCATATCAATATTTTCATGAAACAGATCTGAGCATTCCTATAACTCTGGTCTCTGAGAAGCCCCCCTTTGGCATTTCCCTACAACTCCCTCTGTGCCTTCTATGCCAAGACGGAAATCAAGTTAGAAGCAGGGCACAATAGCAAATGCCAGAGCCCAGGAGAATTAGGGCTCTAAATATTGGCACCCAATTTGGCTGGAGAGTGAGAGATTTCTCAGACACATGTCCCCCACGTTATGGGATTGTGGCTTTGAAACCCAAGAAGAATGTTTTATCTGGGCTCATCTTCTTCAGCTACCTTTTCCACCTCCATAATTGGGAATCACAGGATCTGAGAATTAGAAGGAAACTTAGATGTCATATCTGCCATTCCACTCGGTGCAGAAATATCTTCCTGACAAACTGGAAAACTCACCCCTCTGTAAAGCAGCTTATTCCACATTTGGGCATTTCCTAATTGTTAAAAGCATCTTCCTTAGGTTGAGCAAAAATTAGCTTCACATAAACGATTTCGCATTCCTCTTGCACATGACAGCCCTTGAAAATATCTATCGTGTCCCCTCAAGTCATCTGTCCTCATAGGACATCGTTTCCAGATCTTTTGCTATCGTGGTTGTCTTTTGAGCATAAACCTGCTTACTGCATAGCTTGTAGCTTAATTAAAACCCTGTGTTGTTTCTTACATGAACTACTGCTATGTGCCTGATTCTATGTTTGTACGATTGACTTTTAATTTCACCTAGATGCTGGGCTTTGAATTCATCCTCAGAAACAATTGCCTTGTTTATTTCAACTATTGCTCATAATATTTCTGGATCTTGAGTCTCATATACAATATCATATTCTCTATACCAATGTTTCTGGACCTTTTTCCCATTATCACTCCTAAAGAGCCTTTTTAGACATTTTTCCTTAATCTCTCTTCATGAAATTTTAATACTGTAGATATACCATGTATATGTGTATGTATATATGTATATCTGTATTCTATAAAAAAGAAATATTTTTTTAACTCTTCAAGAATCCATTTTTGCCCTCTTGTGAGGCAATATCACCCCCATTGAGAGTGCATGCTCTATATACTACATTTTTTATCTGCATGTCTGATCAGTCAGACTAATAAAAGTATTGAATGAGATAAGGTCCGAGGCAGAATCCTGCAGTGAAACCATAGAGTCATCCCCTTATTAATGATCACTTTTAATAAGGTTGTTCAAACTTGAAGCAATCCATATAACTTTTGCTACCACCCAGCTCCTGTTTTTCCATCTTCTCCTTGAGGCTATCATAAGACTTTTTCAAATGTCTTGCTGAAACCCAGATACATTATGCTACGGTATTCCTGTCATCTACCCTTTTAGATACCCTTTCCAAAAAGGAAATGGGCTTATTTAGGCATGACTTGCTTTAGTGAGTTCATGCTTACCCCTAGTGATTTCCGCTCCCTTTCTAAAGCCTCGCAAATGACCTGCTTAATAGTGCATTCTATACTTTTGTCAAGGATCAATGCCATGCTCATGGGTCTTCAGTTTCCAGGATCTACATTTTGCACCCCACACCACCACCACCAACTTTCACTAAATCTTGGGGCATTTGCCTGCCTCTTGGCACCTCTCAAGTCTTCCCTTTGCCGTAAGTTCTCAAAGGTTACCGAGACTGGCTCTGTGATCACGTCTGCATATTCTCTAAGTAGCCTCGGATGTAATTTGTCTGGACCTGAAAACTTGAACTCATTGAAGGCAGCTAAGCATTCCCTTATTATCTCCTCATCTATCTTGGGCTTTAATTCTCTTTCCAGTTCAAAGATCATGCTCCTTATTGGAGAGGTTAAGTAACTTGCCCACAGTCACACACCTAGGAAATTGGCAGAGCTGGGATTTAAATCCTGCCCTGTTTGACTCTAAAGTCTGGCTTTTAACCAGAATGCTATGTAGCTTTCAAATACCAACTGAGTGCTGTGGCCTATGGGTGCTATGCGAGTTCCAAAGTGGGAGAGAGTTCATTTAGCAAGACTAGTCAAAGCAGGCTTTGTAAAAGAGGTTAAATTTGAACTAGATCTTGAAGAGTGAGTAGGATCCCAATAGGAAGAAAGAAGTGATGTGTGCATGTGTTGGTAGATGTGAGGAAGGAGACAGAGGATGGCATCCCAGGCAGGGAAAATAATAAAACATAATAATTGCCCCTTTGGTCTGCCTCATAGTGTACTTGGTTGATCATTATGAACACTGAAACCACAAATGATCAAGAGATAGCCAGGGTGTTCCTGCCTTCCCTTAATAACTATTCATTCAAGCTCTGTTGGTCACTAGTTGTATACCCTATGGCAAAGCACAGTCTTTTTGATCCTTCGTTTCCTGCTCTATGAAATGGGAATAAAAATAGGCCTATTTTAGAGGGTTGTTGTGAGAATTAAATGAGCTAGTTAATACATATAAAGTACTCAGAACAGTGTGTGGCTGTAAGTGAGGCTCACCAAATGTTACTTGCTGTCATTGTTATTATTACTGTGATTCACTTATTCATTCAACAAGCATATACTGAGTTCCTACTATGTGCCAGATACTATGCTAGGTGCTAGGGATATGAAGGTGGCAATAAGAAACATGATCTCAGCCCTCAATGAGTTAAAGACTAGCCATGCATTTACTTTGTGGGAGTTTTCAGTCTGTACTACTATTTTGTTCCATTATGTGGATAAAGTGGTATGTTTTACTTATCTTAAACTGACCTCCTTTAAAAGTTTGTGGGGATAGTGGTAAAGAGCCTTTGATTCAATAGCCCAGGATTTGTGGTGGCTGCTTTCTCCAAGATGCTATAGATTCTGGTTAATTTCATCTCAGCCTTCACTCAAGCCTTGGGTTCTGTTCTTTTGCTTCCTCTAGTCTCATTCACAGCCCAGTCATTTTCCCTGTCTTGGGCACTTTCCATCCTAGATTGCAAAATTGAGCTCCTTGTGGGGGAGTAAAAAGCCAACTGCACCCAGTGTGCCAGTGGGGGGTGGGGAGAGCTGTACATTGGTCTAGTATGGCTCAGCAGTGTGGGGCAGTGCCATTTGGTTTTGGCTGGCTAACTACAGTCCTTGCCTCTTTTGAGTTTACAATCCCCCAAGGCCAGTGAAAGTGTGAACAGAAGCCACTGAAGAGGGTGGACTGTCGGCTTCCAAACCAAATAGCCTTGGGCCACTGTGGGTGGAGTTCAACCAAGGCTTTGGGAGGGGGTATTGGATGTCTTCCCTGTTGGCCTGGTTAACACAAAAATATGCTTCACTGGGCCATCAGCAGAACTTTTTTTTTTTAATCAGGAGAAGCAACTCGTTTGCCTTGTCAACAAAAGGGCTCTAGTTTCTCAATATTAGTCAAAGAAAACCTCTGTCCCTGGTAATTGAAATAAATGGTTACAGTGGTTGCTGATCTCTGACTATATCAAATCCATACTCCTCTGCTTGGTCATCAAGTCCCTTCTTCCACCAAGGGATTAGATTCACCCCTATTTGGCCCTGGTCTAGCTGACTTTTGTGTTCCATTTCTCAGGATTGGACAAAATTTTCAGGAACACAACCACCACTGGGCTGGTGCTGGGGTAGGGAACTCAGAGCTGGGAAATGTTGGGTGGGGATGATGCTTTGGATAGAGATGTCATCCAAGTCTTAGGCATAAATTGTAGCTGAGAAAGGGTCAGCCTCAGAGAACTTAGCACTGGGTACCAGTGAGAGTGAGCAAGGCCACAGACAGAAGACAAGGCAAGAAGTCAGGAATGGAGGTGATCCAGAACTCACAGGTCAGGAAACATTGTGCAAGGTGGGATGGAGAAAAATAATGCAAGGCGACAGTTAAGAACAAAGCCACAGATCAGGCAATCATTCTAAACGGGTATTGGTTGCTTGGCATGATTCAACACGGTAGTGCACTTTTACTCATGATATTCCCCACCCCACCCCACCCAACACTGTGACCGTCCTTTCTCACCCTTCCATTTATCCAGGTCTTGCTTAGCCTTTGATTCTCCAACCTTACTTTCTCAATGAAGCCTTCTTCCTCCCTCACTTATCTCCACTCTCTCTGAATAATCATCTCAGTTTGAGTCAGTATCATATGACACAGGGTTCTAGTTACTCATTCTCCAATGTTTCGTGTATATCCTTGGATTTC